CCGCAGTTGTTGTGGGGCAGAACTTAGAAGCCTTCGAATATGCTGAACTTGTCAGCATCCTCGCCATGCTGGGGGGAACGGTACTTGCGATGGGGCGACCAGTTCGTGATGATGAACAATGGGAAATTACCCAAGCGACATTTCTACGCATACATTGCTGCTGGTGACCGTCGACAGGGAGGACAAAGACACTGCAGATCTCGGAAACCTGGGCGGACTTCCCAAGGAGTTACCGTCGTGGGAAGGGCAGTGAAGACTGAAATGATAGTATACGATAGCTACTCCTGCTCAATGCAAGCGGCAGATTGATGAGGCATCAGGAGGGACGATACCTGATCGTGAGCTGATTTTACAAAAGAACTTGCCTAAATGACTCTCGTCGGACAGACAGAGGATGATAAACTGACTGTAATACAGGTGTATTGTTGTTAATTTAGTAGTTAAGGCTGCATTCAAATTTAGATTTAGGGAAAGGTTAGGCTTAAGTTGAAGGCAGAGTTTGGGTTGTCAATAAGGCTAGGATAAGGGTAACTATTAGGAAAGCTAGCTTTTTACACTTCCAATAACTTCGCCCACGGCAACCTTTATCGAAGGATGTGGAGAGTTCTTTCATGGGCGCTATATAAGCAATATACATGCAGGCCTGTTTGCCTACACCAGTAAGGGAAAGAGGGAATCACAATTTAAATTTCCTCTCGAGAGAGACATTAAATTGCTAAGGACTGTGGATCATTGCTTCTTCTTTGCCCGCAGCTTTAATCTGCCCTCTTTTCTCCCATTTTGATGAAAAAATATTCCTTCTGAAAGATTGCCTTGTTGTACAAGCCACTGATATCTTCCGGCGTGGGCTCCGCTGTCAAGTAAAACACCATCGCAGAATATATCGCTCCTTTGCAATAACTCCAACTAGCGGATATTTTGGGACGCACTTTGACACTTAACTGTGCTTCTTCCTGGTTGCTACTGAAGTATTCATGCCCACTGTTAAAGGCGTTGGCTTGATTTACAAATGACGAAATTTTGGGCCTGATTTAGTCTGGCTTTAGGGTATGCCTAACTGCGAGGGCCATTGCAGTCTCCCTTGTCTCTACAGGCAACACATTTAAAATACCTTATATCGTGGGTACGGTAGCTACGGTCGAGGCATTACCTTGCGCTGCTGGTCGAATCGCTGTTCTGTCTCGGCTCGTTCCTTGCGATACTGTTCTTCCAACTGACACAAGCGTTCATCCATCTCTTTGCGCAGGTCAACGCCCTGTTTCTCAAGCAGTTCGGAGATTGCATACGCCCAGTCCACGGGCTCTGTGAGGCTGACTGCAGAACAGGCAAAACAACCCTGTTTTAGGACGCTTGTATCTGCTAGGAGATGTTTTGCTGTAAACTATTCCAGTTAGCTGACAGCAAGGGCGATGATAAAACGCTAGTTAAACAGACACTGACAGTGCAAAGCTCAGAGCCAGGACAAGATATTCATTATTTTAAAAGAAAGTCTGTGCACATGGATGCATAGGCTATATGGATGGGTACACTCTCTCCCCTCCTCCTCCTCCTCAATACATGTGGGATTAGACTAAATGTCGGGGAATGCATTTATTCCCCGGACTTATCCCTAGAAATATTCTCAATTTAGGCCTTAAAGGTTACCTGAATGATGCCCTTAACATTAACACTGCCCCTAATCTCCAACAGCGACTGGAATAGACCTTTTGAAGACGGCCTAATTTGCTACCAAGCGAGTCTAAGAACGACGCATTTTGTGAATGTTTTCTGTAAAATATATTTGAATTTTTAAGGGCCAATGTAAACCACTGAGTTAAATACACACTAATTAAGTAACCATCATTATAGAGAATATACATATTGTTAGCGGTCTGGAAGAAGCTCTTGACGCGACTGAAAAGGCTTGGAATTAGGCTGCACACTAATCAGTCTTACAAGACTACTTACTGTGGGTTTGTAAGTGATCAACAGTCTTCCGCAAATTTTTGCATTTTGCATGAAATACCGACCGTACTCTATGTATTTCAGGGTTCTAACTGACCATCAAGAAACCACAAATGTTTTTTTTCCTGCACGTAGCAAAACTTGCAAATATAAGTGAAGTGGACGGGATTGTTAAACTAATTAAAGCGAAGCAGAGTCTTATTTCCAATCGTGCGCTATAGCATATCGCCTTTTGATTGAGTGACTACCCTAACCATGGCTTTACAGGATACCTGGATACAACCAGATATCCAGGTATTGAGTGGCAGCAATGTTTCTTGCATATTTTGTTAGGTGTATTTTCAGTCGCTCTATTGTCCTAACACCACGGTATGTCGCAAAGAAGGTTAGCACTCAAGCGCAAGTAATTCACTCTAGGTTAAAGGGTAAACTATAAATTTCAGATATGAATGTTTAAGGTAACATTACATCAGTGTTTTAAACGTGTTGTGAAAACGACTGCAGTTCAGTCAAATAAGTTAGCTTAAGCTGGTAAAACCACCTAACAATTCAGTGGGCCTGGTGACTTCCAGGTTAATCACTTTAGAAATTCTACTTCGGCATTCAGACTATTGCGACAGGCATTAGTGGATTCCGTGCAGGCGTAACTTGACTTAAATGTAATCAAACGCATGGCTTCCAGTTGGAGTATCGTAGGTCAGACGGTTAAAGCGTTGGCTGCACTCAAGCCTAGATGCTTTTAAGTGGGTCT